GCCAGCATTGTGGCTCAGCATCAAAGCTGCTGCCTGTGACGCCAGCATCACATAGGGGCACTGGTTCAAATCCCAGCTTCTCCACTTCTGGTCCAGCTCCCTGCTGATGCACCTGGAAAGGGCTGGGCCCCTGCCACCCACATGGGAGGCCCAGGTGGAGTTCTAGGCTCCTGGCTTTGACCTGGCCCAGTCCCAATTGTGTGATCATTTGGGGGAGTGAACCAGCACATGGAAAATCTCTTTCTCCTCTCTGTAACTCTGCTTATCAAGTAAATTAAAAATAATAATTAAAAAAAAAAGAAGACTCAACAAGAGCTTTAGAAAGTTCAAGTGGACTTTAGGAACCTGAACTTTAGAAAAGTCAAAGTCAAGTGGACAGAGCCACATGGCTTGTCAAGGGGAAGCTGTGCTCCCAGGCCAAGGGTGATGGATTGGAACACCGCTGCTCTCTCCTGCCACACTCTAAAGGTGGTGCCAGCTGGGCCACAGCTCCAGGCCTGGTGGGCTGGGGTGGGGGGCAGGGCTGATCCCTTGGGCTGTTCTTGCTCCTCTTCCAGTCCAGCTCTCTGCTGTGGCCCGGGAGTGCAGTGGAGGATGCCCCAGTGCTTGGGCCCTGCACCTGCATGGGAGACCAGGAAGAAGCACCTGGCTCCTGGCTTCAGATCAGCACAGCGCACCAGCAGTAGCAGCCATTTGGGGGGTGAACCAACGGAGAAAGGAAGACCTTTGTCTCTGTCTCTCTCTCTCTCTCACTGTCTAACTCTGCCTGTCCAAAAAAAAAAAAAATCAAATAAGAAAATCAAGTAAGAAGGTGTCACATGTCCAGCACAGAGTGGCGGCTCTGTGAAGGGCAGTGCTCTCCTCCCCCACCCTTTCAGGTCAAGGGGAAATGCAGTTGGGGTGGGGACAAAGGTAAACACTTATTTGGGGTGGAGGCTTGCTTTATGAATCATCGTAACTCAGCTGAACGCAGCCCTCTGCAAACACTTGAGGTGTTCTTGGCGTGTTACTTTCTTGAATGATGTTGCGTGGTGCTGGTGGCGGGGCGGCGGGTGTGTGTGTGTGTGTGTGTGTGTGTAATTGTCCCTTCCTGTATAAAAGTGTGGCCTGACTTGTCCTGGATGCACCTGTCTGTAAGGAACCCTGCTCACCACAATGGTAGGTAACTGAGTGGGTACATAGAGACCAGAAAGGAGGGGGGAAGTGTCTTCCTTATTTCACTTCTACTTGTACTGGAGCTCACAGGGTGCATTTAATGGTGAGTGGACCTAGTTAGGAATCTTCCGCATGTGACTTTCAGTTCAACGTGTAGAGTAGAAAAAGGGTCTGGGGACTCTGGGAAATCCTAACGAGTTCCCTAAGATCTGAGTTGCTCTAGAAACTCTGGGGTTCAGTGAGGTCTCTGGTGTCTCTGATTCTTGGGGCCTATTTGAGTGGCTGGTGAGATGGAATGCAATGCCGGACCAATCATTGCACCATTTTATAGATAAACTGAGCCTGGGGACTGGAAGAGACTACAAGCCTATAGGGAGCTGAGTGCAAAGCCAGGGGTTGCTCTCTGCAGCAGGATCACCTGGGAAACCTCAAAAAATACTGACAGGGCTGCTGCCATGGCTCAGTAGGCTAGTCCTCCACCTAGCGGCGCCAGCACACTGGGTTCTAGTCCCGGTCGGGGCACCGGATTCTGTCCCGGTTGCCCCTCTTCCAGGCCAGCTCTCTGCTGTGGCCCGGGAGTGCAGTGGAGGATGGCCCAAGTGCTTGTGCCCTGCACCCCATGGGAGACCAGGAGAAGCACCTGGCTCCTGCCTTCAGATCAGTGCAGTGCACTGGCCACAGTGTGCCAGCCGCGGCGGCCATTGGAGGGTGAACCAACGGCAAAAGGAAGACCTTTCTCTCTGTCTCTCTCTTTCACTGTCCACTCTGCCTGTCAAAAAAAAAAAAATCATTCCTTGCCAGATTAAAGAGGTCTATGCTCCACGTGAGTGACTCCAACGCAGGCCCTAAAAAAAAAAAAAAAATACTGACAGGAGCTCCCAGACACTCGGATGTAATTGGTCTGCAGTGAAAACAGGGTTTTTGTTTTTTAACATTTATTTACTTATTTTAAAGGTCAAGGTCTACACAGAGAGAGAGAGAGAGAGAATCTTTCATCTGCTGTTTCACTCCCCAAAGGGACTGGGCTAGGCTGAAGCCAGAACCTGGAACTCCATCCGGCTCTCCCATTGAGTGGCAGGTGCCCAACTACTTGAAAGGCCACCCTCTGCTGCTTTCCCAAGCACATTAGCAGGGAGATGGATTGGAAGTGGAGCAGCCGGGACTCAAACCATGCCCCTGTGTGATGCCAGTATTGCAGGTGGAGGCTTAACCCCCTGCCCCACAACACCGGCTCCTATCTTATTAATTTGAAAGGCAGAGTGACAGAGAGAAGTGGAGAGACAGAAAGAGCTCACTCTCCAAATATCTGCAGCAGGCAAGGCTGGGCCAGGCAAAGCCAGGAGCCTGGAGCTTCATCTAGGTCTACCTATGTGGGTGGCAGGAACCCAGGCACATTAGCAGGGAGGTGGATCAAAAGTGGAGCAGCTGGGATTCGAACCAGCACTCTGATAGAGGATGTCCCAAATAACACCTTAACTTACTGCACCACAGTGCCAGCCCCCAGATCCCTTAGTCCGTGAACTCATGAATGCTCCACCCACATGACCTAATCACCTTCGGGTGGGTTCCCACCTGTTAGTGCCTTCCCATCTGGGTTGAATTGTTACAGGAGTTTGGGTGACGGCATTCAAAGCATAGCATGCACGCAAGACAAACTAACTTTTGGGTGGGGCCGGGGAGCGGGCTGTTTCTGAGACACTGTCACCTGGGTAATGCACCCTCTTAGTAAGGTGATCTCGCGTGGGTCACTGTCATTCAGTCTCGTGCATCTCCAGCACCCCCAGGAGTCACATCCTGCAAAGTCTTCATCTCCCTGAGTGCCCCAGGTCCTGCCACCACCAGCCCCGCCCACTTGCCAGGTGCTTTTCTGAATCATCCCTGGTTCTTAACCAGCTCCGTTCTTGGGCGAGTGGTGTTTTTCCATTTCCCACTGCTATGGGGAGGAGTCTGTTCTGAAGATCAAGTCTGGGAAGTGAAGAAGTGAAGATTGGCATTGTAAACGGTGTTAAGGAGTTTGATGCACGCTCTCAAATTGCGTGCCCTAACCATTGTTCCAGCCGACTGGCCCTTGTGCCTCTCACATCTCACCCATGCATCTGTTTCCCTCCGGGTGTTATAAATTAAATGTTTATTCTCGCCATACCATTATGGTTCTATTTTATACGCATTTTACATTTTTTTTTTTGTTTTCAGTAAGTTGAACTTTTTCTCGTGCTTGCTCATCATGTTTCTTTGTGTCTACGCATGGGTGTGAAATGTCTTATTTTTTAAAGATGTACTTATTTATTTGAGAGGTGGAAGTTACAGACAGTGAGAGGGAGACAGAGAGAGGTCTTCTATCCACTGGTACATCCCCCGAAAGGCTGCAACGGCTGGAACTGGGTAGATCTGAAGCCGGGAACCAGGAGCTTCTTCCAGGTCTCTCACGTGGGTGCAGGGACCCAAGGACATGGGCCATTTTGTACTGCTTTCCCAGGCCACAGCAGAGAGCTGGATCAGAAGTGGAGCCGCTGGCACTCAAATCGGCCCCCATATGGGATGCCAGCACTGCAGGCAGTGGCTTTACCTGCTATGCCACAGAGCCAGCCACAGGCTAACAACTTTTAAGTGTCACAGGTTTTAAGGATTCTGCAGAAACAACAACAAAAGAAGAAAAATCCTGTAGTTTAGAACACACAAAAGTTTGTGCATTTTAGTTAATGTACTTTGTAACCTAAGTTATTGCAGCATAAATCTGTCATGTATCCTGTTTGTATTTGTTGGTGTAGTTCTCATGACAGACTACACACGTTTTTGTCAATCTGTACTTTTTTCAAATGTTGAAAGCCTTATTTTTTAATTCTTTGCATTTTTCAATTACAGAAAAGCACTTCGAGTTTTTTTATGTGTGAACATTACATATAAAGCCTTTAAAACACATAACTTTAGTGCAAAAAGAGAAAGTACAAGGTGGGAGTTGTGGCACAAGAGGATTCAACTGTGGATTACCAGGCCAGTGTCCCGTGTCCAGTGCTGGCTCGGGTCCAGGCTGCTCTGCTTCTGACCCAGCTCCCTGCTAACGCTCCTGGGAAGGCAGTGGAAGGTGGCTCAGGTACTTGGGCTCCTGCCACCTATATGGGAGACCCAGGTGGAGTTCCTGGCTCCTGGCTTCAGCCTGGCCCAGCCCCTGCTGTTGGGGCCGTGTGAGGAGTGAACCAGCAGATGGAAGGTCTCTCTCTCTCTCTCTCTCTCTCTCTCTCTCTGTCACTCTGCCTTTCAAATAAATATTCTTAAGAACTCTCACCCCATCTTTGTTTTAGAAGATTCCTGGGGATTATCATTTTAAAGTTAGTTTGTGTAGTTTATCTAAGAAAGATGACAAGCATAACCTGATCCTTCTCCTTGTCCTTGATTTCAGCCTAGATCAGTTGGTCTGTTCATACGGTTGGCAGCGATGCCTTTGTCATCTAGAAAATGAAAAAAATCATCTGATCCTCATGCTCACAGCTTTGCTTGCATCTGTCTTTCCTCTGGGGCCCCCGGCTGACCCAGCTGGCCCCAGAAAGCCCCAGCCAGAGTCTCTTCCCCTTTATCTCTTCCTGAAACTCTTCCACCCCTTCACTCTTGCAGATTCTTGCTAAAAACGACCCTACCCAGAAAGGCTTCCCGGACCGCTCTGTGATAAGTAGCACATGGGCATCATAGCTCCAGGACCTTGAACTCACAACTCAGTCTTTCTTTGGCTCACGCTCTGGACTTGCACAGGTCTTGCTCCATGAGGGTGGCAGCTCCATCTTTGCACACCTGCCAGGACCCAACCCTCTGGGTTCATTCATGCTCCGTCCTCGCTCCTCTTCATGTTACAGAACACTCTGCTGGGCAGCCTTGTGGTCTTCGCCAGCCTCTTGATGTTGTGCAACACGCAGTGCTATGTCGAACTCTACGACAAGAACCCGGAGGATCCCCCTGATGGTGAGTCCCCATTCTCCAGCGTTGATTATGTCACTGCAGCCTGGGAGATGTGACCTGTGCACTGGTGCTGAACACCTTTGAATCTGCATAAGAAAGAGGGTCAGGGCAAATATAGAGATGGTGTCAAAAGGATTCCAACTTAACCCTAGCTGGGTGAGAGTTGACTTTTTTCTTCTTTGGAAACTTACGAGCGCTCAAGTCCCTTCCAATATAAGACCAGGTAGGTAAATGAGAATCGCTGGGGTCTGAGCTGCACATTAAAAGCTCCTTGATGGGGCCGGCGCCGCGGCTCAATAGGCTAATCCTCCTCCTGTGGCGCCGGCACACCGGGTTCTAGTCCCAGTCGGGGCACCAGATTCTGTCCCGGTTGCCCCTCTTCCAGGCCAGCTCTCTGCTGTGGCCAGGGAGTGCAGTGGAGGATGGCCCAAGTGCTTGGGCCCTGGACCCACATGGGAGACCAGGAGGAAGTACCTGGCTCCTGGCTTCGGATCAGCACGGTGCGCCAGCCGCAGCGCGCCGGCCGCGGCGGCCATTGGAGGGTGAACCAACAGCAAAGGAAGACCTTTCTCTCTGTGTCTCTCTCTCACTGTCCACTCTGCCTGTCAAAAAAAAAAAAAAAAAAAAAAAAGAAGAAAGAAAAGAAAAAAAAGCTCCTTGATGGGGTGAGCATTTGGCTTAATAGTTACACTGTGGCTTGGGACCCCGTATCCCATACTAAAGTGGGTTCAAGTCCCAGCTCTGCTCCCAATTCTAGCTTCCTGCTGTTGTGCGTCCTGGGAGGCAGCATATGATGGCTCAATTCACTGGGTCCTTGAAGCTCACGTGGGAGACCTGGATGGAGTTCTGGGCTCCCAGTTTTGGCCCTGGGCCACACCAAGGTTGCTGTGGGCCTTTAGGGAGTGAATCAGCAGATGGGAGCACCATATGTCACTCAAAAATAAAATAGAATAAAAGCTCCTTGTTTGACTGTAAAGTGGGGCACAGCCCTGGGTCAGTGGCTCTGCAGGCAGATGTGGGAGTCTGCATGTCTCATGCCACCCCAGGTGATGTTGCAACTGGTCCTTCCGGGACACTGGGACCACATGGACACAAAGCAGAGGATTGTACCCTTGGTTAAACATTTGAATTCTTGGGGAGTTTCTTTCTTTTTTTAAAGATTTATTTATTTTATTTGAAAGTCAGAGTTACAAAGAGAGAGGAGAGGAGAGGAGAGGTAGAGGTAGAGAGAGAGAGAGAGAGAGAGAGTCTTCCATTTGTTGGTTCACTCCCCAGGTGGCCGCAACGGCCAGAGCTGTACCGAACTGAAGTCAGGAGCCAGGAGCTTCTTCCAGGTCTCTCATGTGGGTGCAGGGGCCCAAGGACTTGGGTCATCTTCTACTGCTTTCCCAGGCCATAGCAGAGAGCTGGATCAAAAGTGCAGCAGCTGGGTCTCGAACTGGTGCCCATATGGGATGCCGGCACTGCAGGCCAGGGCATTAACCCACCACAGGCCAGGGCATTAACGGCACCACAGCACCAGCCCTGGGGAGTTTCTTAAACATGTGGTGGTGGCCTGAGCTTCACACCCAGAGACTCTGATTTCCTTGTTCTGGGGTGGGTGGGTCCCTCCCAGATGTAAATGCTTTTAAATTTCAGATTTTCCATTATCTATTTTATTTATTTGATAGGCAGTGGAACAGGGAGAGAAAGAGACGGAGGCAGTGAGCTTCCAAACCCTGACTGGTCCACTCCTGAGAGAGCCCAAATGCCCACCTCCAAGTGTTTGATTAAAAAGAAATTTTTTTTTATCTTATGTATTTTAAAGGTAGAGTTACAGAAAGAGAGGAAGGGACAGAGAGAAAGCGTGAGAGTGGGGAGAGAGAGACGTTCCACCCACTGGTTTACTTCTCTGAGTTTCCCCATGTTGAGTGCCAGGGGCCCAACTCACTGAGCCATCTTCCACTGCTTCCCCAAGCACATTAGGAGGGCGCTGAGTAGGAAGTAGAGCAGCTGGGACTCAAAGTGGCACCCATGTGGGATGCCGGCCTCTCACAGGTCCCTGTAGGTGGCTTTGAAGTGCCCCGTATGTGTCACATGTTCACCCAGGGTTAGGGACCGCCGATGCAAAACAAAGGGGGGGGTATGCTGAGGTATTTCTGCAGAGAGAAGCCAGCAGGAGAGAACTTGGTCCCACAGAGCCCCATGCTTGTCCTAGCTGTCTGATTAAAGAGGAGGGCTTTATATCTCCAAATGTCTGTCCGGAAATAAAACCTGCAGGGATTCAAGCTTTGTGACAAAACATCACCTGTCGCTCCCCGTCTTCGTGGAGGAACGACACAGGACCCTGCGCTGTTCTTTCGTCTGCTCGGCCCTCCCCGGGTTTGCTGCTGGTTCTTCCTGGGTTGGCTGCCGTCCCTTCCACCTCCGTGGAAGGGTGGTTTCCCCTGCCACATTCCCCACTTCCGCGGGGGAGCGGCACACCGCCGGCCAGCTCTCTCGGGGGCTGCACAGGTGTTCCCCTTAGATGTTCCTGGTGCATGCCGTCTCTCTCCTCCTTTATAGTCCTCCTCCGCCAATCCTAACTCGGCTGCCCACACGCCGAGTACGCTGCTCTCCTCCAATCAGGAGCAGGTCCTGCAGCTTGTCAAGTTGGTGAGAGGCAGCTGGGTAGAAGCTGTTGCCTCCTCTCCCAGCGCCATATTGTGGGAGAGCAGATGCATAGAATAAGTCTTAATTCCAGTAACTCAGTCCAGTCCGGGTTGCTCCCCACAATCACCAACGGCAGGTTCTGCACGGCAGCACCTTTCCCGGACACCATGGTCACACGGCAGGGGGCTGGCCTTCCTGTCCTCATGTGCCCTGCTCCTGCCAATGCTCCCAATGATGTCACGTGTGTTGTCTTAGAATGCAGGGACCTCGATGGAGTCACACACAAGCTGAACGTGCCGTGGATGACCGAGAACTGTTACAGATGTAGTTGTGACGAGACTGGGATTCATTGCTGCAACACGTAAGTCACGTGGGTAGTGGCGGAGAGAGGAACAACACCGCTCCTTCTTTGAAAACCCTGTTATTTTGGGGGGTCCTTGATTGTTTTAAATAGGCTTTTTTTTTTTTTAAGAGCCTCTTGGATTCCCAGCAAAATTGAGCAGAGCTAGAGCGATTTCTCATACACCTCTGCCCCCATACATGCACTGTCTCCCTATTAGCAGTGTCTTCCACCAGCGGTGCATTGGTTACCGACCTCACACGGACTCATCCTTGTCACCCAATGGCCACAGTTCACATTCACTCTTGATGTGGTGGTGGGGGTTGAGGGATGGAAGTCATTTTCAGTCCTATTTCTTTTATTCTTTATGTAATTAATTACACAGAGAGAGACTGAGACACAGAGAGGGAGAGAGATCTCCCGCGTGTCAGTTCACTCCCCAAATGCCTTCCTGCCAAGACTAGGTCAGGGAGCCAGGAACTGAATCCAGGTCCGCCAGACTCCCATGTGGGTGCAGGGACCCAAGGACTTGAGCTCTCACTTGCTGTTTCCCGTGGTGTGTATTGGCAAGAAGCTGGAATCTTGAACTGGAACCCCGACCCAGGCACTCCACATGGAATGCAGGTGGTCCTGGGGGTATCTCAACCACTAGTCTGAATGCCCACTCCTCTCTTCCTTCTTTGGCTTGTGGTGGAATACGCAGCACATTAAACGTACCGTTTCAGCCATTTGTAAGTATACACTTCAGTGGCATCAGATAAATTCACTGTGTTGTGCTGCCACCACCCCCACTACAGCGCCCTTCATCCTGCAGAACTGGGATTCTGCACCCAGTCAACACTGGCCTCGCAGGGGCTGGTGCTGTGCTGCAGCGGGTTAACACCCTGGCCTGAAGCGCTGGCATCCCATATGGTCACCAGTTCAAGTCCCAGCTGTTCCACTTCCAATCCAGCTCTGTGCTATGGCCTGGGAGAGCAGTAGAAGATGGCCTGAGTCCTTGGGGTCCTGCACCCATGTGGGAGACCCAGAGGAGGATCCTGGCTCCTGGCTTCAGATTGGCACAGCTCCGGCCGTTGCAGCCATCTGGGGAGTGAACCAGTGGATGGAAGACCTCTCTCTCTGACTCTACCTCTCTCTGTAACTCTGTCTTTCAAATAAATAAATCAAAAAAAAAAAAAAAAAACACTGCCCTTGGGGCTTGGCAAACACCATGTGTCTCTATGAATTTGACTGTTCCAGGCTCCACATGTAAGTGGAATCATGCACGTGTTTGTCCTCTTGAGACTGGCTTCTTCACAGAGTGTGGTGTCCTCCGAATTCACCCATGTTGTAGCCGGTATCAGAATTTCCTTCCTATTTGAAGGGGGACTAACACTTCATTCTGCACATTTTGCTTAGCCATTCGTCTGCTGGTGTACATTTGGCTGCTTCAGTTTTATTTCCTTTATGTTGCTTTTGGAACTTGGTCTATGCCTTCTCTTTAAAAAGTATTTGTTTTATTTATTTGAGAGACAGGCAGAGCGAGCTGCCACCTGCTGGTTCACTTCCCAGATGTCTGCTATGTCTGGGGTTAGGCCAACAGATGCTGGGAGTGGGAACCAATCCTTGTTGGTGGCAAGGCTCAGCCACTTGAGCCACCGCTGCTGTCTCCCAGGGTGTGCATTCTCGGGAAGCTGGAATTGAGAGCAGAGCTGGGCTTCAACCCACTACTCAAATGTGCGATTAGCCACTAAGCCCTCAAATGCCCACCCCAGTTTCCTTATTCTTTGTATAAAAGATTTATTTATTGGGGCTGACGCTGTGGTGTAGGAGGTTAAGTCTCCACCTGCCATGCTGGCATTCCATGTGGGCACCAGTTCAAGTCCCAGCTATTGCACTTCTGTTCCAGCTCCCTGCTAATGGCCAGGGAAAGCAGTGGAGGATGACCCATGTGCTTGGACCCCTGTACCCACATGAGAGACCTGGAGGAAGCTTCTGGCTCCTGGCTTCGGACTGGCCCCGCTCCAGCCATTGCAGCCATTTGGGGAGTGAACCAGTGGATGGAAGATCTCTCTGTCTCTCCCTGTAACTCTGCCTCTCAAATAAATAAATTTTTAAAAAGTATTTATTGAAATACAAAATATAAAATATAATTTATAAATAAATTTATAATTTATAAATTAAATTTATAAATAAATTTTAAAATATTATTTATATTTTGTATTTTAATAAATACTTTTTAAAAATTTATTTATTTGAGAGGCAGAGTTACAGAGGGCAGGGAAGAGAGAGAATCTTTCATCCCTTGGTTCACTCCCCAAATGATTACAATACCAAGGGCTGGGCCAGGCCAAAACCAGGTGCCTGGAACTTCATCTGGGTCTCCCAAGCACTCAGGTCATCTTCTACTGCTTTTCTAGGCCATTAGCAGAGAGCTGGATGGGAAGAGGAGCAGCTGGGACTTAAACCGGTGCCCATATGGGATGCCAGCGCCGCAGGTGTCACTTTTCCCTGCTGCAGCACAGTGCTGGCCACAGTATCATTAGCCTTAAATCTCTGTATCCAGAGGGGTTCTTGGAGACAGGAAAGCCTATGCAGTGGTAGATGTTATTGGGGAAGCTGGCCCAGCCATCGGTGCAGCCTTGGCCTTGGCCACTAGGAGGAGCAGGCGGTGCTGGATGTGAGGTGTAAGGAATGAGGGCGCAGCGTGTGTACCTTGTGCTGTCAACCCTATGTTGTGCTGCTGGGAGTTCTACCCACGTCAGCTCAAAGGTCATGCAAATGTGTTCTGCTGGGGTGCTGTGGACACCAAAGTCTAGTATTAGGGAGGAGAGAACACAAAATACCCACAGGTCTGTCCACACCAGCCACCCTACTCCTAGCCCCCTGCCCCAATCCATCTGCCATCCACATCAGCTCTGGCCTGTGGTGTTTCACAAGCACGTGAGTGGCCTTGACGGGAGCACGTGTGTAAAGCAGCTTTCCCACGCTTGCTGGTCACAGAGTCCTCTGGGAGGCCAGGTGAAATGCAGATTCCTGGGCCCTACCCCAGAGCCTCTGATCAGAATCCATAGGGGAGAGACCACGGAACCTGAATTTTTTAAAAAATATTTTTATTTATTTATTTGAGAGGTGGAGTTACAGACAGAGAGAAGGAGAGACAGAGAGAAAGGTTTTCCATCTGCTGGTTCACTCCCCAGATGGCTGCAATGGCCAGGATTGGGCAGATCTGAAACCAGGAGCCAGGAGCTTCTTCCAGGTCTCCCACATGGGTGCAGGGGTCTAAGCACTTGGACCACCTTCTTTTGCTTTCCCAGGCATATTAGCAGAGAGCTGGATCAGAAGTGGAGCAGCAGGGACTTGAACCGGCGCCCATATGGGATGCTGGCGCCACAGGCAGAGGTTTAGGCTACTATGCCGCAGCGCCAGCCCAAGCACCTGCATTTTAACCAGGGCCTCCAAGAATCTGATGACAACTCCAGGGAGCAGGGGAGTGATCTTCTGACCCAAACCAGAACACTTGAATCTCATTGAAGTTCTCAAGGCTGGCAAGTGCCACTCACATTGTGAAGCAGGTGCCAATGCTAAGTACGTACTGGAACAAAAGGCATATGGAATGGGGCCTCCAGCTGGCTGCCCGCCCAGAGCAGGCTCCCAGGCATCTACTGGCTGGGGCACTGTGTGTTCCATTTGAATCTTGATGTTGTGGCCCCAGAACCTTGAATTCGCCTTTGTGTCGAGTGTCAGCAGGACCCTGGTGTGCCTGGCTGGGTTAAGGGCTGGTGAACTGTGCCTTACTCCCACCGAGGGCACCTCCGTGGTGGCATCCCCATCCCATCAGCGCTGTAGCATCATGTCCCATCGATGTGACCCTCTTCTAAGGTTTCTGTGGACCCCGGGTAGAAAGCAGCCAGGGCTGCCCCGGGCAGTGAGGTGAGAGGAGCCACGATGCGGGCGTCTCAGTGAGCTGAGCCCAAGTCTCCAGTCCTTTGTGTGCTCGCTGTGAGGCCCCAGGTGAGGTTGACTCTGAGTCTCAGAGGCCTCTCTGTAAAACAGGTGGATGTGAGAATTAATGAGATCCTGCACATACATCATTTACCTGGGCTAGCCATTGGCTTTGGCAGGAAAGAAAGAAACATACATGATGTAACCCTCCAGGGGCCCTGAGGGAGGGGGAGAAGGGAGGAACAGACACCATGCAGGTGTCAGCTGCTGATGCATCTGCTGAACTGGCCTGACTGAGCACTCTGAATTTCAGTGCAAAACAGGCTGCTCCAATATCAGTTCCCTGATTGGTCCACGTGGAATACCTCGTTAGCAACACAGACACCAGAACTGCAACATGATGACCCGGGTTAGGATGCACATAACCCACAGTAGAGTACCTGGGTTCAAATCCCGGCTGCACTCCTGATTTCAGCTTCCTGCTAATAGGGGTTCTGAGAAGCAGCAGGGCAGAGCTTGGGTCCTTGCTGCCCACGTGGGAGACCCGGACTGAGTGCCTGGCTTCAGGCTTTGGGCTTACTCAGCTCTGGCTTGTTGCATGCATTTGGGAAGTGAACCAGCAGGTGGAATCTCTCCCTCCCCCCATATCTCTGCCTCTCAAAAGATAAAAATCCATTTCCTCAGCAAACATGTCAGGCCTTCTCTGTGCCGGTTCTGAGCACCCTGAGCCTGGAATGGCAACTAGCACGTGGTTGGGGTGAGGGTGCCCTCTCCCTCTCTGCTGCTATGTTGCCTGTCCACAGGAAGTATGCTCACTTCTCTCTACTGCTCAGAATCAACCCCTTCCCTGGAACTGCTCCATTGCTTACCAAGTTCGTTTTTCTCATGAACTCCTCTCTCTCCCTCTCCTGACCAGAGCAAAATACAGATTTTGATTAAACTTTCTTTGGGAGAATTTCCTGGATCCTTGCACCTTACTAGAGACACAGGTAGATTTCCAAGTGGCAGTAGCAGTGGAGCCTGGGGCTGGAGGCCCAGGCAGAGGCTGCCCCCATCAAGGGGTGGGAGATCTCCTGGCCTCCCCACCTCCCAGCCCCTGCTCTCTGACCGCAGCGAGGGAGTGAGCTGTGGAGGCAAAGGCCCAAGGTCATCCAGCCCCCAGTGCTGAGACACCCCTAATGTTCCAGTTTTCCCTTCTCATTCTCTCTTTAGCTGTTTCAGCTACAGAATTGGGTCAGATTTAAATGAAAATATGCATCCAGTAATATGCCCTTTGCCACTGCAACTTGTACCTGCACGCAGACAACAGAATTACACAATTTCATTTCCTACTAAAAACTTGTAAAAAAAAAAATCTCACCTAGGGGCCAGCATTGAGATGCAGCAGGTTAAACTGCCACTTGGGACACCCACATTTCATACTGGAGTGTTGTTTCCAGTCCTGGCTGCTCTAGTTCCAGTACACTTGGGAGAGAGCAGATAACAGAGCAAGTGCTTGGGGTCCTGACTCCCATGTGAGAAACCCAAATGGAGTTCCAGGCCCCTGGCTTTGACCTGGCCCAGATCTGGCTGTGGGGGCATCTGGGGCAGTGAATCAGCAGATGGAACCTCTCTCTCTCTGTGTTGCTCTGCCTTTCAAGTAGATGAAAACCAACAGACTTTAAAAAAAAAATCTCTTAATCAACAACCACATTGCCTTTTAATGTTTTTTATTGTGGTAAAATCTATATGACCAAACATTTGCCAGTTTCACCACTTCAAAGTGTACAATTCAGGGCCGTGAAGTTCATGCACAGCCAGAGGCACCCATCACCACCATTTCTAGAACTTTCCAGGGACTCCAAACCGAAACTCCCCATGCATGCAGCCCTACCTCCCCCTCCTCCTCCCCCAGTCCCTGAGAACAACTAATCTACTGTCTCTGTGGATGTGCCTAGTGTAGATCTTTCTTGGAAATGGAATTGCACAACGTTTATCTTTGTGCACTCTGTGTATTTCGCTCAGCAGCATGTTTGCAAGGTTCATCCGTGTTGCAGCCTCTTTCAGTAACCCCTTCCTTTTGAAGCCTGAAAAATATTCTGTGTTATCGGAATAGCCTATCTTACTTCCGTTCCTGTGCTGACGGACCTGTGGGTTGCCTGCACCTCTTGGCTATAGTGGGTGCTGTTCTACAGTATGGTTGAGTCCCTGCTGTCAGTTCTTTGGGAGCGTGTACCTGGGGTGGAGTGGCTGGGTCTCATAGTGTGTATTTTCTTTTTAACTCTTTGAGAAACTGCCCATCTGTTTTCCACAGCAGTCACGACATTCACATTCCATCCTGTAAGCAACCATATTTTTTAACTTAAAATATTGTTGGATTCAATTTTATCAGTAAGCAGTCTTTTAAAAAAGTTATTTATGTATTTGAAAGGCAGAGTTACAGAGAGAGAGGGAGAGAGAGAGCAAGAGAGATCTTCCATCCAATGGTTCACTCCCCAAATGGCCACAACAGCCAAGCTGGGCCAGACCAAAGCCAGGAGCCAGGAGCTTCTTTCAGCACTCAGGCCATCTTCCACTGCTTTCCCAAGTGCATTAGATGGAAGCTGGATTGGAAGTGGAGCAGCCAGGACTTTGAACTGGTGCCCACATGGGATACTGGCATCACAGGTAGTGGCTTAACCATCTACACCACAACACTGGTGCCCAAACAACCATTTTTAACATTAAAAGTTTCAGTAATAATTTCCCAAGTTTTCAGTATAAAACATAGTAATTACAGCACTATTGGAAAGTATAGGAATAAAATATATTTATAATCCCACTGCTTGAAGGTAATAACGATTAATATTTTATCCTGATTTCCTTCCAACTCCCTTTTTTGTTTTTAAAGATTTATTTATTTATTTGTAAGGCAGAGTCACAGAGAGGCAGGTGGGAGGAGAGGGGGAAGAGAGAGAGAGGGAGAGAGGTCTTCCATCCACTGGTTCACTCACCACATGGCCACAATGGCCACAGCTGCACGGATCCGAAGCCAGGAGCTCCTTCCGCATCTCCCACATGGGTGCAGGGGCCCAAGGACTTGGGCCATCTTGTACTGCTTTCCCAGGCCATAGCAGAGTGCTGGATTGGAAGAGGAGCAGCCGGGTCTCCAACTGGCACCCATATGGGATGCCGGCGCTGCAGGCGGTGGCTTTACCTGCTATGCCACAACGCCAGCCCCCCAACTCCTTTCTACACATTTTTTTTTACATGACAGATACCAAACTCTAGGTTGCAATTGTGCAGTCTGGGTTTTCCACGCAATAGTCTAGCAGTAACACTCTCACACCTCATCGAAACTCTTGCAAACATTCTCCTATACTTCAAGCTAGTCATTCCTTAGTCTTCAAACAGATTCAGTGCTGAACCCCAGCGCTGAAGTCAAGTCTCGAGCGCTTGCTTCCACTCGCGTACAGCACGAGCCAGCAGGAGATTGGTGTGCAAGTGCCCTGACACCACTGGCCCAGGGGGAGCGCCATCCTCAGGTGTCTTGGGAGGAGTCAGGCAGTTGAGAAAGAAGAAAGGCCCTGGCTTTGTTGGTGGCCAGTTGAAAGGAAAGTGAGGGTCATCTTTTGTCACAGAGGGCGGTGGGGAGTGGCTGTGTGTATGCACCTTTTGGGCAGAGACAGTTTAAAATTAGGGTTTACGCATGAGCTTCAAGGGACCAATGGGCCCCCAAATTATTTGCCCCACTGAATGTGGGGGTGAATATTCTGAAGGAGATGGTCCCCAGTCTTCATCAACTCCTGCCTGGGCCCCATGACCCCAACCTGGAGTGGCTCTCTTTGCTCCTGTGGGTTGAGATGGCTCCTCTTCTAACTTCCTTCCTGCCAAGCTTGGGACAACCTGACCACTTCCTGAACAGGGACACCAGGGACAGCCAGGCTGGAGCCACCTGCCTGGCCCCAGAGCAGTCCAGGCCTGCCTCTGGGGCTATCAGAACTCCAGGCCATCCTGGGCAGGCCAGACAGACTGTGTGATGGATGGCAGGGATGGTTTGTATGACTCTGCAGAATGGGCAGGTGCAGGTGCCTGGGGGCCGTGCTGTGGGGCTGACAGCAAAGGGTGCCCTCCCATTGATGATGGCGGTTGCAAGGTGGGGGGAGAGGATCTGCTGCAGTGTGGCCCTGGCTGGGCTGGGGTGGGGGTGGCATGGGGGGGTCTTTTCCTGTCTAACAGGGCTTGGTTTTTCTCGATGACAGTGCTGCCATCCCCGGAGGTTTTGATACCACAAAGTGCAAGAAGATCTTCCACAAGGACACTTGCAGCTACTCCGTGGTGGAGCTGGAGAACCCGGACAAGGAATGTCCAGTCAGCTCGTGGATCCTGTGAAGAGCTAGCGGGCCCAGGTCCTCCCGCGGGCCCGGACAGCCCGATGTACAGCCCTGCTTATCAGTAAAGCATGTGTGGAGCAATCACTCGGCTGTGTATGCATTGATTGCACATTTTAAAGCATGTGAACTGAAGAGATGAAAAGTGGAATAAAGGTTATGCCCATGTGCCCGCACGCAGCGTCCCCCGTCCCAGCGCCGGGCCACCCCTGTGGTTTCTGCCTGCGGCCTGCCCTCTGCTGGGCAATGAACACAGTCTATGCGTCTGCGATGAGATGGATTCTTTCCCTGTTTGGGGGGTGTTTGTGTTTATCCTCCCTTCCCTTTCATGGGCGAGGGGCCTCTCTCTCTGCTGTGGCTCCCCACGGGCTGCTGTGGTTGCCTGAGGATAGAGCAGGTCAGAGCAAGGCAGCCGGGAGAAGTGTCCAAGTCCTGGTGCAGCACAGGGTTGAAGAGGCCAAGGCTGAGAGGGCATGGCCTGAGGGAGCCAGGGCTGAGGGCTCAAGGCCTGGGGGAGCCTGGGCTGAGGACCTGGCCTAGGGAGCCAGGGCTGAAGGGGCGTGGCCTGAGGAGCCTGGGCTGAGGGCTCAAGGCCTGGGGGAGCCTGGGCTGAGGACCTGGCCTGGGGCAGCCAGGGCTGAAGGGGCATGGCCTAAGGGGCAGCCCAGGCTGAAGGGGCATGGCCTGAGGAGCCGGGGCTGAGGACGTGGCCTTGAGGGAGCCAGGGCTGAGGGGCGTGGCCTGGGGCGGCCAGCCCTGCTCAAAGGCTGCTGAAAACCACACTGTCAACTTCTGTTCAGCCAGGATAGGCGGTGAAGGGTCACTGGCAGGGTGTACGTGACAGGTCACCAACAAGCCACTGGCCATCGGCCTCACAGTGTGTGGGCAGCTGATAAAGAGCGTTCTCTCCCCTCTGGCCCGGCCCCATCTGTGCAAACAGGTGCGCAGACGAGCTGAGCAGTGCAGCCGGGCCCCTCCGCGTCTTTGTCCACACGAGATAGTGACTTTGGTTATGTCCAAGCCTCCCTGCAGACCCCACACCTGTGTCACGGGCACAGCCGCCGTGGCTGCCGACCTCCCCTGGGAATGCCGTGGGCCTCTGGAACATTCCCCTACTGAGCCCCTCTCCACAGCTCCCCTTCTGTATCCCCGCTGGTGCCTCCGCCACTTTCTACTTGGGCTGCCTTGCCCCTTGTAGGAGCCGCCCTTGAGTGGGACCCATAAGACCCCCTTTTGGGGGCCGTCATTGTGGTGCGCCGGTTCGAGTCCCAGCTGCTCCACTTCCTATCCAGCTCTCTGCTAAGTCCTGGGAAAGCAGTAGAAGATAATCTAAGTCCTAGGGCCCCTGCACCCGCGTGGGAGACCCAAAAGCTCCAGGCTCCTGGCTCCAGCCTGGCCCAGCTTTGGCCATTGAGGCCATTTGGGGAGTGAACCCGCAGGTGGCAGACCTCTCTCTCTCCCTCTCCATAACTCTGCCTTTCAAATAAATGAATTAATTGTTTTAAAGATCCTATTACGATCTTCAGCTTGTCTGGGAAAAGTGGAAGCAGTTGGCAATGAGTGTGGAGCCCCCCCTAGGCATCTGGCTACAAACACACTCAGAATCCCAACGTGGTAATGCCACCCTGGGAAGCTGGTGTGAGGAGGCACTGCAGGGAGGCAGGGTGTTATATATTGTTAGCCATCACAAAACACACCGAATGCCGGAATAAGGGGAAGGGTTTATTGGGGAACATCCAACAGTCCGGAGTGAAGGGGCAGCGAAGGGAAAGAGAGGAGGAGACTATAAGAGAGAGTCAGAGAGGAGGGAGAAGAGAGATGAGAGGAGGAGAGGAGCCAAGAGAGGGGACAAGAGAGAAGAACCGAGAGGAGAGCGAGCAGGAGAGAAGAACCAAGAGACCAGAGGAGGAGGCTAGAGACAGGAACCAAGAGAGCAGGGAGCAGAGCCAAGAGAGCACGAGTGCAGGAACAGGCCCTTTTAAAACTTTGCCCGAGGGCGGGCAGGGAAGCAGGAGCAGGGAATCCCATTAGGGTGGGGGTGGAGCATGACAACAGAAGTTGGGCCATGTGGCCACCTGGCTTTCAGCCATGGTGGCAGGGGCTAGAGCCTGGGATGTAAATCAGGGTATAGATCGCGCCATAGATAAAACTAACATAGATAACACCTAACACTGGGTGTGCAAGATGGCCCTTAGGGAGCAGCTAAGCATGCCTTGGGAGTGGTTCCAGGGAGTTGGAATTTGGGCTGATATTAGCTATTTACCCTATGCCCCTCACACAATAGCTCCCCACGCTCTGCCTCATGGAGCCCCTGGGAACCATCATGCCATGCTCCTTTCTGGCTCTAGGAATTTGCTCTGGTTTCTGCATGGGAGTGGAATTACACAACTGTCCACCTTTTGTGTCTTCTCACGCTTTTGCATCTCAATGAGAAAGCCTGTGAGGGCATCTGGTGAGAGAGAACCACTTAGGATCCCATGCTGGGTGCAGCATTTGCCTTCAAAAACAAGAAACCTTGGCGTCATTTAATTTGATTTATTCGGCGAAGAAGTCAAAGGACACTCTAAGGGCAGGCAGCAAGGGTGCATCTGCGCTCTGCGGCCTCTAGAGGGCAGCCAAGGGCTTCGGGCAGAGCTCTCGCGAGAGTGTCAGACGGGCGGCGAGAGGCGTGGGAGTAAAGTGGCGTTCTCGCGAGAACTCTGTCTTTTCAGCCTCGGCTTCTGTGGAGCCGCGTCTCCGTCAACCCAAGCTCGCGTCGGATCCCCCGAAAAGGCGCTCGCAGCTGGTAAGTACGGGAGTGGCCGGCGGGGCGGGAGCGCCGGGGGTGCGGTGACCGCTGGTTTGCCGGGCTGGGCCTCCTGCCCGCCGCCGGCCCGGGCCTGGCTTCCGACTCCTCCGTGCGACGTCTCCGGCGCGAGGCCACCGTCGGGGCCTGGCCTGGCCTCGCTGGCCCTTGACGCGCGCTCCCTGGGGCTCCCGGTCGCTCAGGCCTGGCCCCATACCCCCAGCCACCCTCACGGCCAGCCCCTGCGGTGACAGCCCCTGGTTCCCGGTGTTCGGGTCTGGGTCTCTGGCCTAGAGCCTGTTCACGTGAGCCTAGCTCGTCAGGTGGAAATGCAAAAAAAAAAAAAAAAAGAAAGAAAAAAAGAAACAGTGGTTTCGGGGCCGTCTCCTTTGCTTCTCCCCCACATAGCGGGGTGACCTCGGTCCGTGTCACAGCCGAGGAGCAGGGCGTGCTGCGCTCACTCTGATTCACGCCGTGGAGAATCATTTCTTCAGGGCCCGCAATGTTCTGGGTGGAGAGGTTACCAGCGGCGAAGAGAACCGGACAGCCAGATTCCTGTGTCCGGAGCAGTCACAGCTCCGTCCGCGGCCTCGGGCCGTGGAGGTGGCACGGGGGCCGGGGAGGGTGGAACGGAGTGACTCCCCGTGTTACTTTCCAGTCCGGGGAGCGTCCCCGCGGGTCACTGCCTTTGGGAAGCCTGCTTGGTCGTTTGGAAATCGGAAGCCAGGACTGTTGGAGGTTCCTTTCCTGCCTTGGGACTCAGGCAGGCTACTATGCTGGCTCGTTCGGCGATTGCCAGCTTGCAGGTTTGTTCATTTGAGTGAGAGAGAGATGCAGAGTCTAGCACAGTTGACTTCTGCCCCGACTCTTCTGTGGCCGCGCCTTTGTCCTTGGGTGGGTGTCGGGGTGGGGAAAAAAAATCTTTGGTATTTCAAGTTGTATGATGGTTTGTGTCTCAGCGAATCTCTCCAGTTTTGCATTGCCTTTGGGCGAACTGGTGTTTCGAAAGTGGAACGTTGGGTGGGGTCAGGCCGAGAAGAGGTGCAGGAATTCGCGGTTTGGAATTAGGTAGCACCCTCCACACCTTTCCCGTTGTATTAAATCAGCTGCGCTGCAATCTCAAAAAAGGCTGGGGGAGGGGTTCAAAACACTCTGGGGCTTCTCCTGACACGGGCGCCTTCCCCCTTTGAGAGTCTCTTAGTATTTTCTAGAGCTTTCCTCTGTCATGTGGGAGGGCCCTCTGCAGAGGTCCTGGTGTTGCACCTGTACTGGTAACGCCCAGGCCCTTATTCCAAATAATTGGTTACTTTTTGCTCTATCCTTGGTGAATCGCTTCTCCTCTAGCTGGCAAGGTCACACCATTGTATTCTCAGGGGCTGTCACAGTAAGTCAGTCATGAGCTTAAACATTCGATAATTTGAATGAGGACATAAAACCTTAGCCTTCAGTGAGTCATTGATACGTGGTGCGGCTAGGAGCTTTTGACTCGGCTCTGTGATTAAGTCTTGGCGAGCCCATTAACTTTTGCTCTCTTCACCTTAAATTTCTAACAAGTCTCACCCTCTGGAGAGCCACCAGCGGTGAGACACTGGAGACCTCTCACAGGTGCAACCCCGTTGCCCCTGGTCCGATGGAAGGACCCGCCCACCCAACAATGGAGGGGACCCGATCCCCTGACAACTATGGGAAGAGGTTTCACTTGAGTCTTTCCAGAGATCGCTCCTCAGCCTGTGTGTATACCGGCCCGAAATGTCAAACCCTGGACCCCAGTCTCCAAAGGTGGACTCTCTAACAGCCAACCTCAGCACCTTTCCCTAAACAAGCCTGCCCATGAAGCGACAAGGAAGAGGCCTGCCTCCTCCCAACGTCGGGTGATATGGAGGACCTCAAGGGTCTGGTGGACCAAGCCCAACACCTGTCCCCTACCCCCAGTCCAATGGGCCCGCTGCTGGTGGTGCTGATCTGTGCAGCCCCTGACGTTAAACTCAGGCCGCCGGTGACCAGGCTGGGTTCCAGGATGACCCCCAGTGATTGGGCTTTCTGTCAGGGCACACAGTAACTGGACTGGACCCTGGGACCAGCCCTTCAAGGATGCAGTCAGGCAGCTGGTAGAGCGGACTAAGAGGACCCTTGGACTGATCATCGCTCTGTTATACCCATTGTCACTGCGGTAGCTGGTGCAGCTGTCGCCACCATTTCCCTAGTCCAAAGTGCACCGGTGAACAACGTCACTCAGCTAACGGCCACTCCCCTGTTTACCCAAAACCAAGCCACCAGTCAGATCAAAACAGCGATCCTGG